AACAATGTGTAAAAAATGTAAAAAAAAAGAACATTGCTTCCAATGCACATTCTTACCATTCAGTATTGTCGATCAAAAATAGTCTACTGAACTTTCGCTTACCACAGAGCCACGTATTTTTAGCTAACAGTTGATATTAAATCGTTGATTATGCGTGATTCACTTACTATCAGCCAAAATGGTAGATGGTAGTAGCGTATGAGGTCAACGTAATGATAGGTCCAAGAACCTCAGACAACAAGCCTTTTTGACAACAAATAATAAATAATAGTAACGACGATAACCCGAACAAAGGGCAGAGACAGCCGAGTGCGTGATCAGACGGGGCAAGTGTTGGGCTGTAACGAAGGGCAATCATCGATTGAACAGAATCGACTAAACTCGAGAGAGTCAAACACTCATGGTTCCCGAAAAAGTTATTTATTATGACTTTAAACATAGGCTACAACATTCTGATTTCCAGGCACTAATCAGTACTACAATCCCAAAATCACTAAATTCTATTTTTCGCCGAAACCTGTTTGTGGTGGTAATTCGATGGCCGACCACAAAATTGGCATCATTTTTGATGCTGGCGCCATTTCGAGCCAGGACGTCGCTTTGGCACGATGTCAATTTCACCAAATTAAATCTAAACTTGCAAAGAGGGGTGAGTTGGTGTCCTAACTACAAATATGAAATTCAGTTTCGCCACTGGCGCTGTTTAGCTCATATTTTCTGCTTTCCTGAGATTTCTCACTTATAGAGCCTAGGGCTAAGCTCGGGGGAAGGGGTGGGGAGATTCTGGATAAACAACGCACTGTGTGGCGAAAGCTAAAGAAGTATGTGAGATGATCGGGTGAGTGGCTTACTCATCTTCAAGTCCTTCTTACCACAAAGGCGTAGCCCTGATCGCCACCATATCAGTAAGAGGGCACAGACAAGCAGAAAATAGGCGCCAAATGCCGCCAGAATCGAAAAAATGTTACATTAGTAATAAGGACACCATTCAACCCCTATATACAAGTTTACATGAATTTGTGAAAACAGCCGTCGTGACAAGGTGGCGCCAACTGGCGCCAAATGGCGCCAGCGCCAAAAATGAATGTCATTTTCGTAATCAGGGCATCGAATTACCCCTATAGAGCAAAGTTTCGACGAAAAATAAACTTTGAGATTTTGGCAGGACTACTTTGTTCGCAAGGACTACACTGGCAGCACAATCTGCTGTCGGTAATCCGCAGGATTTCATACCAGCCATCTTTAGCAAGAGCGCTAGTGACAGCCATGGAAGCAGACAGAGTTCGTTAATGGTCATCACGACCGATCATATGCCTCCACAAGCTCATCGAAATTTCACGAGATTGTGTAAGATTCCATCCGTATTCAATTGCCTATTAGGGTCCCATCTAGTAAGAGGGGGCATTGTGGTTTTGGGTTTTAACGCGTTTGTAACCATGGAAAGTATGTTTTTTATTGTAAAGGTTCAGAAATAAGTCTTAGAAGGGAGGGAAATCCCAGGTTCGTAAGCAATCTTCGTTCTTAACTTAGAGCCGCGCGGCTCTTTCGCCTCTAGACTTCTCGTTAGTTCATTGCGCTCATTAGCAGATACTACTATTCAAAACATTTACGTCGTCCCAGCATCAAGACTGCATACATTACACAGCGAAATCTGAAGAGTGCAATATGGAAAATCTGAATAGAGCTGGAAAACTTCTCAGATCTTTGAATCAAATGCCTCAGAGCCAAACGAAATCGGCTCCCCCACTTTCTTCACGATTTGGGGCGCGGCCGCGGCGAGCGCGGACGAGTCGATAGTGCCCGCGAACTGTGGTGGTGATGCGTTTTCAAATTTACCCACACAGTTCGCGGGCACTATCGACTCGGCCGCGCTCGCCGCGGCCGCGCCCCAAATCGTGAAGAAAGTGGGGGAGCCCCTGATGCCCCCTGCCTACTGGAAAAACGAGATCCGAATCGATTACAGAAATGCAGTGTGGTAGGAACAGGGAAATGAAACTGAGTTTTATCCCTAACTTTTCGCTTCACTAATTTTACAAGCCAACCAAGACCATAATTATTTAACTCACTCATCACCGTACTGCAATATTTGTTTGAATATAAAGCAAATAATTGCTGACAATTTAAAAGATAAAAAAGATGGGCGCGGGTGACAAGGCAGCCGTCTGCCTGTATCGATCCCCGCAAAAGTACAATAGGTAACGTGGCTTGGCTCATAAACAAACCCGGAAAACAGGCGCACGTGGACGTGCAAATGGCGACAATGCGACCATGGTGCGATTTCCGCTTTGGCGCGCATTATCTCCATCGCGCGTCAGCTCCGTGAAAGGATCCGTGTGACGTCCTGGCCTCTGTCAAAAGTCTTCAAAATAGCATTTAGACACAACAGTCAATGTCTTTCCTTGAATGAGCGGGAAATACGAAGAAATAACCAGTGTTTCGAATAGGAGCGCGTCGAGTGCGGACCACACACCACAAGTGACGACGATCGTCACGAAATGTCACACCTTTCGTCACTTGTGGTGTGTGGTCTGCACTCGACGCGAATCTGGTTTACGGAAGCAAGTTGTATTCGTATAACTTCGTGCTAGCCGCTTGTATATCAAGTACGCGAAAACTAAGAAACGCTTGGTGACCCTCTGGTGAGAAAAGGACTAACAATAAGCCCAAACGCCGAGAGATAACAAAATTGCTTACATTCTCCCTGTAATCCGTCCCTTCGCAAAGGTTGAGTGTGGTTCTCTATGACACAAAGCCACTTTTCGCGTTTGCAGCGCGAAAGATTTCTCGCTGAGGAACGCTAAGCTCAGCCGCTGATTACATGAGATGGACCCGGTGGGTCCGCGCCAGCGAACCATGTTTCGCGGCCCGCAACGCGAAAAGTCGCTTCGTTGTTCTAGTGAACCACCCCAAGTATTTCAAGAGGCTGCTAAAATTTTGACGTTGCTAGGGCTCTTTTTGGAGTGCGCTGCAACATTCTGTTTTTATGGTGGCACCGGGTTAGTTTCTGAACATGTTTCCTACACAACAAAATGCTGAGAACAGCAGCCGATCTCATTCTGTCAGAGTTTAGCAGGGTGCTAACTTTGGGGGGGGGGGACCACGCGGCGGCGCGGCGCTCTGTTCGTCTGCTCCTCTAAGGCTTAGTCCAAGGGGCAGTTACTATTTCGTCGCCACGTGGCAGTTTCGAAATACGCGCCATCGGCGGACTAAGCCTTGGAGGAGCAGACGAACAGGGCGCGTGGTCCCCCCAACTAAGTTAGCACCTTTAGCAGCAAAGAACCGACTCGAAAGGATTAGTACTCGGGCAAACTTCCAGCTTATTTCCTGATGAAGCGCGTGCTGGCGGGGAGGACATGTCACCGCAGGTTCACATGGCAACATGGCTTATCAAACCCGGCTTGTTAGTTGCTTCTGTGCGGCGATGTGAACATCCAGAAGCGACCATTTCTCTGGCATTTTATGCGATCTTCTGTCACAATTGTTGGATTTCGTTAACTGTGGCAAGGTGAGGATATTTTAATGTGATAAGGATGCGCTGAACTCTTGGTTCGTTTGTTCTCATGCTCATTGTTAGCAGATTCATTACCCATTTGGGAATGTGGTTCCGAGGGAAGGGGTGCAGCCTGTGGCATTACGTCAGATCACGGAAACGCTCAGTTTCAGGAATATCCTAGAGAAGAAGACAAACTCCGAGGTGTGCAAGCAATTCTCATTCCCTCCGGAATTCGTCCTTTCCGTCAGGCTTTGCCCTAGTCACCTCGTTAATCAGTGGATCCGAGGTTCCCGCAGCGAACAATTTGTGGACTCAAGGTTCCCGCAGCGAAAAATGTTTCGCGCTGCGAAATGCAAAAAAGTCGCGTTCGTCCTAGTGAAGACCCACAGGGGGTGGTGTTCAATCCTTCCAGGGGATGTATCCCCACGTGTATGATTCATCCTCTGTAGATACAGAAAAGAAGAGTTGCTCATAGATCCTAGGTATACCTCTGTGTTTCTATCCCACTCAAAAGGGAACAAAGATTGAGACATCAGTCCGTGGAGGGTAGCTCGCCGTAAGCTGGTTCGAGGTAGAAACACAGAGGTATTGCTAGGTCCTATGACGGAAATTCCCTTTGTTTGTCCTCCTATGAGGATTGATGCAGAGGATGGGGAATACCGATGGAGATTGATACTAACACGTTACAGGACGTTCATGATTTTCCTCTATGGTCTGCCGGGCTTAGAGCACAGACGATTTAGAGAAGGATAGTGTGCGCTACTAAGCCTTGAAGAGGAAAGGGACCCGCGAGGGAGCGCAGAAGAGGTTTCAAGGGCTGAGTTCAAGTAGTCCGTCGAGCTGAACCACACCCGCGAATCCAGATGAAAGCCAGCGTGCTCGCTCCCTTTTATGCATGTTGGCTATGTGACTCGAGGGGGGCCAGTCGCCGCGCGCGGCCGTGCGGCAACAGGAAATTCGAACATTCCGGCTTCTCACGGAACATTCCAGCTTCTCACGCATGTCATGTGACTGCCCTCACCCCCAACCCCCCTGAATTGGCTACACTCCCCCTGGCTCACGAATTTCCTGTTGCCGCACGGCCGCGCGCGGCGACTGGTCCCCCCCGAGGCACATGCGCCTGCTCCTTACAGAAAGTTGCGCATCCGTTTTTTCACGGCGTTATTATGGCCGACTAACTCTGACAGTTGTCGAGTAGTTCATTCAGAGTATGAGATGGTTTGTTTGAAATTTACTTTAGGAATCCATACGCGTGGGAAACTCCGTTGTCAATGGGATGCGCCACGAAGTTCGATGCTCTAAACGTCGACCTTCCATCTCTCATGTCCTTCAGTGTAGCTTCATAAATACTTACAAAGGTACACATAATTTATACCAGCGCTCGGATGTCAAAACCTGGATTTTCATATCATTCTTCTTAAGTGGTGCTTGCTGTACAAGGGACACGGTTCGCTCAGCGCAGCGAGCGTGTTTTGGGTTAACTTAGTTGGGGGGGGCACGCGGCGGCGCGGCAGTCTGCTCGCCTGGCATGTTCGGAAATCCGTGGGCCAGGGGGAGTGTAGCCAGCCTAGGGGGTGGGGGTGGGGGCAGTCACTTGACATGCGTGAAAAGCTGGAATGTTCGAGTTTACACTGTCTCGCTCGAGAGAGCCCAGGTGAGCAGACTGCCGCGCCGCCGCGTGCCCCCCCCCAACTAAGTTAGCACCCGACTTTTCCATTTTTCGCAAGTCGAGCATTTTCCGCTGCAGAAATCCCAGGTCCTGGGGTTCACGCAGCGAAAAGTTCGCGGTGTGAAAAGCTTTTCCTCAGGGAAACTCTCATAATAACCGTAAGGTGGGCACTGCGATTAATCAGGGTGAGCTAGAACTTGGTTGACTGCGCGCTCCAAGGACAAAGTCCTCGACGCGACCGCGCACGAACAGAGTAAGTCGGGTCCCCGTCCAGTGTTCTATGTATAACTGTGTTACTGCACCAACAGCCCCGCAATAGTGTTGTAATACGACTTCGTGACACAACCGTGAAGTCTGTTGCAACAATTGTTTTCGAAGAACCATTTAGCTTTTTCCCCACTTCTTACCTCTTTTACTGGTTCTGTGACTCGTTTATTGCTGGTCTTTCGTAGTCTCGATGAGAGATCCTGCAATAGATCATAGTGTTTCGTGGGAAATCGGCCCACAAAGACATCTATATTTGTATGCCGTAACCTTTTATGAGCCCCTCGCGGATAAGCTCTCTTTGGTTCAGAAAATGCTGTTAGCTCTGTGGCTAATCTTTGTTGGTAGCAATTCGAGCAGGTGTTTTTTTCTGTATGTGTAGTTACTGTTGCCTAAACCTACACCCTGAAAAAATGCAGACTGAGCTTTTGCGGAGTTATTGAAACTAACCAGGAGTAATTTATATTTTTCGTATGACCTTGTCATCTAGAAATCCTACAAAGTCTCATTCACACTCAGAGTTTGTAGCAATGGCTAAAGTATTTCAGGATGAATGCGGACGAATCTAATGAATTCAAGAAGGTTCGTGCGTTTGCCTCTTTACCCCGTACCGTCCGAGGCTTTCCTACGGTGATAGGCTCTAGCCCGAAAGGTGATAAAATCATATACTGCAATGGCAACTCGGTCTCATCGTCGTCAGTCGTTGAACTAAGAACGCTTCTTTTTCGGTTTAGTTAACCATGTTTCATACATTGCACTAATTCGAATTTTCATGCTGGCACTTTCTTAGAAGCCTAACCAATGTAGACATCTACACTGAACATCCAGTGCCGACCACAGTAGCCAAGATGAGTCCTAGCGGGTACGTTTAACATTTCGGACTATCATTTTCTTTCGTTCGCTACTTACATCGTGACGCGTGTTTTACGTAATGGTCCATTTGGTATGGTTCTTACGTTTGAACAGAGATATTCCTGCGTTGCCTGCTCGTAACAACGTTTATGCGTATTTCTTTTGGTACGAAAATCTATAAGTGGCAAGAGAAGGTTGTGGATTTGGAAAGCAATCCATTTCCCGAAGCTATGCAGACATAGGTGCAAGGTAACAATGTACTCAGCCTTTTGGTAGGATTCTATGCATTGGTAGTCGGAAGAGGTCCCCAAACCCTTGCTTCTCTCTCCAGCGGAGAAAGAAATGGGACATCTTATGCGCTGTTTCTATAGAGTTGGTTATTGTCATATTGTTGTTTGTCTTCTTTGCATGCTTTTCTTTTAATTCCATATTGTACCATTCGCCGAAAAAGGCGAGTCGTTGAGTCGCCGCCTTCGTAATTGTCCGGTGTTTCGAGACACGTTGTGAAAGAAGACTCGATTAACCTGCTGTGTTGAACTTCATGTGTTCTTTGCGCGCGTCATCTTCTCCTCTTTCTTCTTTCCATAGCAAAAATGGCACAGCATCTCATCTCATGTCTCTCAGCATGCGGTGACGCAGAGTTTCTTGCGCATGCGTCAGCGCTCGCGTAGAAATTTGACATTAATGGTAACTCGGATTGTTTCTTCGTTATATATCTGAAATACAAGCGCTATCGCAAGATACAGGGCATTCTCTAGGCTTGAGGAAGGGGCAAGAATCTGGGAAAAATGAAAATGCTCACGCTTTCTGGAGTTCTCCTCCCCCTTCTGAGGCTTGGTCCCGTTTTCAACAAAAGGAGATGTTTTACACGGTTTCAAATGCATTGCCACGACAATGCCCCTGTATATTGCGATAGCGCCTGAAGGACATTCGATTTCTAAGATACTAGGATGTTTCTATTCCAAAAGTACAGCGTGCGTGGCTACCATGCGCTTTGGTAATTCAGTTGGGTGCCTTCAATTAGGTAAGGGCTGCTGTTGAGAAGTTAAGTTAGGGAGTTTCCATTCTGCTGCCAATAGGCTCCCAATTTCGAACGTTATCAATTTTCATGATCTGATAATTTTTATGATAATTGTTTCCTCATTGAATCGTTCCAGCTTCTACATTGCATCTGGAGATAGCGCTGGAAATGTGCGTATATGGGATACCACACAATCCACTCACATCTTAAAAGCAGCTTACCAGGTTTGGCAAATGCATACCATGTTATGGTTCAGTCCAGTTTCTTTAGTTGTCCTCTTATATTAGGTGTTTTCTGGAAGTGTTCGCGACATAGCATGGAACGATGATAGTAAACGAATAGCCGCGGTCGGAGAAGGACGAGAAAGGTGTGATGTTCTGGTATACCTGCGTAGACAAATCTTGATAAGATTTGCTTTCGACCCTTTCTCTATATACCTGAGAGATTTAGATTCGGGCATGTATTTTTGTTCGACACTGGTACCTCGAATGGTAACCTTTCCGGGCAATCTCGACCCATGAGCAGCATCGACTTCCGTCCCACAGTAAGTTTTCCTGATGCTATTGGCAACGTAGGTCAATTTCCATCACGCTCTTGTGGAGACATCGCGTGCCGAATTTGTCGTTTTTCTTTTGAGATGCCTTATAAAAATGGGATTTTCTTGATCGAAAGCAGCTCTATACTGAAGGGACATCCATTTCTACTCTAGTTGTTCAGAGGCCTTACCGTCTTGTGAGTGGTTCGGAGGACAACACTGTTGCAATCTTTGAGGGACCACCGTTCAAATTCAAGACGGTACTTTTCGGTGTCCTATTTCAGATTTAAAAAAAAGCTTTCCAAATATGCCTAACAGATTTCCTTTTTAGACGTTCCATGAACATTCACGATTTGTTCACGTCACTAGGTACAGTCCTGACGGATCTCTTTTTGCAAGTGCTGGTGCTGATGGAAAGGCGAGATATTTCACATTGTTATTATTATGTTGCACATTTGAACTGATGTAGAAAATGATTTTCAGGTAGTCTTGTTCGAAAGGAACAGAAAGACTAGGCTGGAGAGAAGTCGTTGATGATCTGTTAAGAGTGAGGCAGTTGAAAATTCGTGAAGATGTTAGCACTTTAAAAAAGATGTAACGTATGGATGTCTATAGGCGGTGCGGTCAACTCAGGAAGACGCTGTGTCGGTTTGGCATGGTTCAACTTGTGGCAACGATCGACAAACAGAACCATCTGGAGACAAGACTAGTGAAAATTGGAAGTCAGCCGAGGAAAAGCGCTTAGAAAAGTGAGTCTATCTATTCGATTATTCGTCTTTGAAGGAAACATGATGGTATACGGATGCGTTAAAAAAGTTATTGACCTAACGGTTCTTGATATTCAAATACGATGCCTCATTGCTGCATCATTTCTGAGGCATAACTACAAATTCACATATCATTTGGAAACGCGCTTCTAACTGATTTTATGGAGGACATTTTAGATTATCCTTTTTTAAGAGTTGTAACGTTTGGTGATTCTACTGAGGATCAACAAATCGGTATTTCATGGAGCACAAAGGCACTCGTCTCAGTCTCGCTTGCAGGATTCCTTAGCTTCATAGATCCTGCCGGCAACATAACGTAGGTAGAAGACTGAATATTTTTTTAAATCCCCTCTTCGAAAAATTCAAAACAAGCATTTTTATCTCAGGTTATGTTCATGGGTGCATAACAAAGGAATAACGTCCGCTAGCCCTTACTTTTATTGTCAGGGTTATCACTGCGATTTGAGTGGGCAATAAGTGAGTATTTTATTTTTGGCATTCGTGCTAATACATTAACTTGCTTTTTCGGCTTTGGCACATCAAACCAATCCAGCGTTAAACAACTTAGCTTCACTGACTATGTTACTTCTCCAGTGCTATCAATTCACTCTAGTTGCTTCGAGTGTCGTTGAGTTTCTTGGAATTCGAGTTCGTTATGAACCGAATTACGCGGGTCGCGATTCGAATATTAGAAAAGAAAAAACCCTTGAGTGAAGCGAAAGGGTCTCTAAGCATGGGAGCCGTGGCATCGTCACGACTCGAAGTTCGCGACAAAAAAACCGAGGATTTGCCTTGACCGCTGCAATCGTTGCTGTTGTCACTTCTTCGCAGGATACGCCGTGTCTGCGCCCTCTCACACGACGTGCACTCTCTCGTATTCCCTCTCATCGCCGCACTGTTTACCATCCTACCATGTAGACCTTATGAAAAGAACAGGCCCTAGATTTTTCTGTGTTCCTTTTATTCTTTTTTTCCTTTTTGGCAGTCTTCTACGCGCCTCTTATCTCATTCTTGAGCGGAATAACACATCACTTTGATCCAGACGCGTGCTTTCGAGTAAAGTTCCTCTTTCCAGAGAAACTTATTAGCTCTCGCCGTCAGTTTTTTTGCCAGGCGTTCCATTTGTTCTTGCAAAAAAATTAAGCAAGCACAGCTAATCTTTACTTCAGACTTCATTGTTGACAAGAAACTAGAATATTTTTCAGCACGTTGGAATGTCTCTAATGGGGAGTCGATTCGAATTCAACCAACACTTCATAGGTCACAGGTACTAGTCACCACGTTTGAGCCTAAAAGCCGGCATCACAATTTTGATTTAGATAGTTGGCTTGGTTGTTGGAAGAGATGAAGTCTTAATCAGCTGCGCGTGGGACGACACCGTCCGCTTCACTAGTGGAGCTACGAGTAGTGGTGAGGAGCTTGTCTTCATAATTTTTAGTTGTGGTGTGATGTTTTGCTTGTCATAGATCCCGTGCATTCAAAGTGCGTAAAGTTGCCATCGCAGCCACAAGGTATGGCTTCTTCTTACGATGGTAACCTGACCGTCATCGCGTGCTACAAGAACGTTTTGGTGTTTGAGGTAAGCTATTTTGAGTGACACATTCTCGGTTATGACATGACACAATGACCCCCTGGGCAAGCTTCCTTCCCACCTCAGCATTTGCCCTAAATTTTAATGCTTTTATTCATTCGTTTAGTTAGTTGTGAAACATTTCAACAAGTTGTTTTGTTAAGGATGACAAGTTATCAGCGGATCTTAACGTAACCTTCAACCCTTCTTGTGCAGCCATCTTTGGAGACCTTGTTGCTGTTGGTGGACAGGTATTTTTGCTAGGATTTTTCTTGATTTGGCTTGTTCCAAGAATTTTGTGCTTTTTTGTTCAATGTTTTCACAAGTTATTCCTTAGACGCCTGTTTCCGCGTGATTGCTAAAATATAGAGTTTTCAGGATTCGAAAGTGCATATCTTTTCATTTTCTGGAGGGGCTCTGCAAGAAAAAACAACGCTGCCGCACTCATCTCCTATAACACGTGTTGCATTTTCTCCGAATGGGAAATATTTTAGTCGCTACTGACAGCGAGCCGAAGTAAAAGTGTCTTCTGTGATGAAAATGCATTCCTTTTATACACAAGTTTTTCTTAGGTTGTTCCTTACTCCGTAGAAGATTTTAAAACCGTTGCCAGCAAGGAGTGGACGTTCCACACTTCCACACTCGCCAAAGTTAATTGCGTGGCATGGAGCCCTGACAATCGCCACTTGGCTACGGGTGGACTCGATACAAACATCATTATTTGGGATCTCGAACGCAGTGGAGAGCATCCTATCATCATTCGTGGTCAGTTGTTTTGTTTGCAGACCACATTTGATGGTCCATTTTGTGCTATATATTTCTTGCATTTTTTACTGTGTTATTATATTGTCCCATATGTTTCAATATACCGCATGAAAGAAATACCCTGACTAGAAATTTTAAATCTGAAGAGAGACTTCAACACTGTGCTTTCAGCTTCTGTACAATAATTGAAATGGTGTGCTCCTAAGCCAGACATTTTTTCTGCCCCGAAATTGTCCAACGAAAGAAAAATTAGCACCTTATCGAGTAAACTTTCCAAGGCTGCCGTTGTTCGACTTCTGTACAACATTTCCGCAGTGATTGAGATAACACTACTCAGTCATACACATTTTCAACTTCTTACGCATCTCCCCCCCCCCCCGCGAAAAAATTGGTACAATATCGAAGAGAAATCTTCTTTAGGGGTGCCGTGCTCCCCACTTACACCCAATATCTCCGCATTTATCAATGAGCGCATCAGGCTTCCTTATTTTGCCGGTCTCCCGTATGATGTGCGCGCGTCAGCATGCGCAATAGCGTCGCATAGCGACACCTCAAATGAACCGTGAAGCTGGAAGCTTTAACAGTATTTTATTTCTGTTCAGTTAGATTGAGTTGTTCAAAGATCGACTCATGAAGTGTGGCAAAGAACAGTCCGCAGATAAAGCTTCCAGCATTCTGAGAAAGTAGTACACTAATTCTATGTAAAGTGAAATCACAATGCTTCTCAGATGAAAATTAAAGTTGCTGGGCATGCCAGTGGGTAAGCAATGATTGCTGTGGCACCTTCAGGTTTTGGTGATAAAATTTATCTGTTTACACACTTCTTTTCCGTTGCGAAAGTGCTTTTTTCAGGTGCACATGCAATGTCACCTGTGAACGGTCTCGTATTCTTGAATTCTGACGAGCTTTTGAGTGTTGGACAGGATGCAAACGTTAAACATTGGAAGATTAATCTA